GTAAGGTGAAATTTTACTTCCGGTCGTCGTCCTCTGGGCTCGTCGTCGTCGGTGCTTAAGGTCCCTATTGTTTTGCAATACGAACTAGTTCCTGGAATATCAAAGGCGATAGTTTGTTTGGAATACCAGGCTACGTAGTAAAAACATGCAGATACTGTACATAGTGATAACGTCCTACACTTTGGTTATATGATTTCTTGTTTCTTCGACGAGAAACACATATTTTTGCCACTAGACGTACAAATCCGCTCATCGAACATCTCGTTCGACACGACTGTCCACAGCGACACAATTTTCCCGCCTCTTCCCCAGTCTTCGACTCTCTAACAGCCAGCGTCGAGAGGACTGAACAGTAGCTACCAGTTCTCCTCAAGCCGAGAAATAAAAATGGCGGCCCAAAGCTTGCATGTGCTCGCTTTATACTCTTCGTTGTTTTTCGTCGTTGAGAGGTCCAAAGTTGGGGAATAATTTAATATTTAAGGTACCTAACTGAATTTTGTAACGTTTATTCGCCAGCATGGCTGGGTTTTGCTTTGAATGTTTGTCGCACGTCGCTAAAATGGACTACATGTACATGTTGTTCCTCAGTGTTCCTTGATCATTCATGCCGGCCATCAACACTGAAAACCTAACTTTATTAGCTTACATGGTTCTTTTCTGAGGAGAACATGGAAATGAAGCGATTATTTATTGGTGGGTTATACAGTAATATCAAAGAAGTGGATTTAAGGTATGTTCTAGTGAAAGGTAACATGATAATCAAGGTTTGTTATTAAATATTGCTGTGCACGAGGGGACAAGTAATTCGTTGACGTGACGACCAAGTCTCTTTGCGCCAACAATCGATGTTATCGAAATCTTGCGTCTAAGATTAAACGTAAATGACTTTTCGCTCAGCTGCAGCGATATGTTGCTGAGTAGCAACAATATTTTACCTACAGTGTAGTAGGAACCATATTTTCCCTTGTTGGGGAATTGATTTTTCGCTCACATATTTGCAATACATTTTGAAATATTGCATGATGTCTCGGTTTAAATAAAATATTATTCAAATCATAATGTGCCAAAATATTGCAAAAGTTGGTGAAACTCATAAACAATGGATGAGCTTGGGGAGCCTAAAAAGATGGTGTAGCCCCGAGTAATCTGAGCAGAGCTCGGAGGGTATCCATGACAACCTTGTGAGCAGCAACCACCAGGCACCATCACACAGAGCACATGGTGGAAACAATAATACTTACCACATACTTACCATGAGAAGAGGGAGGGGTGAGCTGGGAGAAAAGCCCTAGGAGAACAGTCTGGCAGTAAAAAAACATGGAGAACAACTTGACATTCTAAGCCAAGTTGTAAACTACAAGGAAGCCCTGCATAAAACCACCAGCCATCCCAAACACCAACCCTGGCCAGCAACATTGTCTCATGTTTAACTTAGCTTAAATTACATGTAGCCACGTAAAATTTGCCAAAAATTATGTTTTGCAGTATTATTTACACGTATACCTTTGCACAGTTCTGTAGTGGTGGCATTTGATGGATGAGTTATTGTTAATTTTATAGGGATCGTTTCAAGACTTTTGGAACTGTATCATCAGTTGAGATTATAAGAAGAACAGATGAAAAAGGTACAGTATATATCTATTCATGGCTACTCAGTGAAGTTCAGTGTAGTTGCCAAGTTCGCAGTTGTTGTTTGGATGATTGCATAATTTTTGTTTCAGCTATTAATTGCCTTATGCTCAAACTGTGGTTTGGTAAATCACAGCTTCCCTGACAGTATGTTACAAAATTTACTCATTTTACTCTTTAAATTGATAATACATGTAATGCTGGGTTTTGTGTAAGACAGACACAGACTGTAGTTAATACTACTGTCAAATTTTATGCGCACCAGACATGAATAAAAAAAATCATTTCTAACACTTTACAGAGTTAAAAAATAATGTTTAAGAATTTCAACACTCAGCTTATTTGAAAAGAATGTGTACAAACTTCATTACAAAGTCCCTTAGTACAACGGTCGTACTACGGTACATGTAAATGTAGTAGAATAAGACTGAATTTATGGGGTCACGATATACAAATAAACTCACTCGATTGTAGTATCAGTGCTTAATGCTTTAATAGTTTATTTCTCAACCAATGGCATCCTTCAGTTGCATTAAATCACTTGCCCTCTCTCTTTGAAATGGTCCTCCAAACATGAAGTTGCAGGTGAAATTATTTCTTCTTAAGAAAAAACTGTTTATTTTGTGTGGTGGATTAAAAATGCACTTTGTTGAAATCAGTTCGGGAGTGGTCCATCTTAATGGTCTGTATGGCAAAATTCAGACCACTTAGGCAACCAATCAGAATTCTCCATTTCACCCCAGAGCAGTTCAGCCATATAATAAATATGCATAGAGTTTTGAGAATTTTATTTTACAGCTACTTGTACATGTAAAAAAGACTGTGAGCAGTCAGTTTCTCCTACGTCAATGCATACTGGTATGAATGAAGTTAATTACACATATCTAGAGTGGAACCCTTCTCTAGGATCACATGCAGTGCCGGATCTAACGGAGGGGGGCCTTATTTTGGGTAAAAAAATTGCAGAAGAAAGAAAAGCCAGCAGGGCAAGCAAAAAAAAAACCTTGCNTCGTCCTTAAACGGCTGCAGAGACATCCTTTCTTATCAGCAAAGATCAAGGATCTGATGAAGAAACGAAAGAAAATTTAAAGTTGGTTGAAAATGTTTCGTAAATAATTCAGTGGCGGATCCCCCCTCTTATTTTGGGTAAAATGAATCACAGAAGAAAGAAAAGCCAGCAGGGCAAGAAAAAAGAGCCGGGTTTCCCTCCCCCCTCCCCTACCCGTGCTCAAGGTCTGGAAAAACCGGGAACCCCCTTAGCTCAAGATCTGGATCCGCCACTGACATGGTTGATTAATACAGATGATTACATAGTTTTGTTCTGTATTATGGACAGTTTTGTCAGTTGCAATGAAAAGCTCAAAGCATGCTTTCTTGCAAAAGGCCTACTTAATATGAACACCAGTTTATAGGCTGGGACAATGTTAATTCCCATTAATCCTTTACTCCTTCCATTAATAATACTAATTACATGTAACTGTGGACAGTCAGTTACATATGTTTTATTAAACAGCATAATTTTTTGATGGGTCATCAGTTGTTAACTATAAAATTACAATGTTTTATCCACAGGTTGCCCTATTAAGACATTTGCCTACATTGACATGCTGCAGACAGAAATTGACTTCAGAAGGTGTAAGTATTGTTAGTAGTGTTTGTGAATAAAAAGTGTCATGTACATAAACATAGTCTGAGAGTAGTAAATATTCAAATTAGGCAACTTGGTTTATATCCCTACATGTCTTTTTGCCTACTGAAAACAACAGTTGTTATAATACCAATGTTGCATGCACTTACATGGTACCAAATTCAGTGTAATAACAACATATACAGTAGATGATACATTGTATAGATTTCCAAATCCAGAAAACTTTTATCTCCAGAACATCTTCCAGTTGCGGCAGTGTGCTTGTGAGCTCTAACAAGGCACATGAAACAGCTTTGTGCTTTCCCCTTCACATACATAAACTTAAAAAGTGTCACATCTCTCAACAACATGTGTTGTAAGGGTCACTTAATTGAAATACTTGATGAGCTCTAGCAAGACTGGTCTTTATTCAAGAAGCCTGCACTGCAGCTTTTTATGTACTTAAACCTCACTGGAAAGGAGAGAGAGTTGCAGTTGTTATTTTAAGGAAAATAATATTTACTCTCCTACATGTACTCTAAAATGTTGATCTTTTACTGTATATATGAGGGCTTAATAACTGCCTGACCACCCATAAGACACTACACCTAAATATATGCTGCATCAAAAACTTGACAAATTTCACTGTGATTTATACCTTGTTCTACATGATTGTATATGTTCAACTACATGTACCTGTTCCTTTGTAGGTGTTTCATTGCTGACTAACTCAAAGTGGAAAGGTTGTTGTTTGAAGATTCAAGCTGCCAAAGAAAGTTTTGTTACAAGGTACCACTGTATATATAAATACATCCATGTACTTGAACATGTGAAGGCTACTACATAATGTACATGTGTACCAAGTATCCATTGCTATACATGTAGTCTGGATCATTATTCCTCCGAGTTCTCCTAACGTCATTTTATGATTTTGTTTTTTTTTTTCATGCTTGAAAAAGTGCTGTTTTAATTTAAACACAAGACCTGAAATTGATTTTTTTTTTTTTACTCCAAAATCATAAGACACAGGCACCTTACACAACACAAACCCTGATCAAAGGTTAAACTTTGGGAAAACTAAAACAATGGAGTTAAACAATTTCTCTTTCCTTTTCTAATGGCTTGATTTAAAACCCAGCCATTTTACAGATTGTTCACAGCTTCTCTATTTGTCTAAATTGAGAAGAACTGAGATGTGTAATAAACAGTCTAGACATGCATGTACAATGTAGCTTGGTCTCTCATTTCACAATCTACCTAGCCATGATACACAGCTTTAACCTAAATATGCTGTGGTGGTGTTTTAATGTTGGGAGCCAAGCTTATAAAGAATCTGTAGCAAAAGAGGAGTTATCTGAGCCCTCTGCACACCTTATTGAGTTCCATCACAGATATGCTACCTTTATAGTGCAGTGTGCAGAAGTCAGAATTTACATTTGCATAGAGATCATTATGGGTATTTAGAAAACAGTCTTAAGAAAATGCACGTGCTGATTGGTTAAAAATTGTGTTTCTACATGTATAACTCAATAGAAACACAGACCGAACTAGCACGAGCTGTTGATATAATGATGGCGCGAGCAAAGAGAATTTACATTTTGATAATCAAAGTTAACAAGTTTTTTTCCTTTTTTGTTGCGGGTTTTTCTAAAAGAAATAGAAAACATGTTCTCCGTGTTTCTATCAAGTTATAGAAACACTTGTGATAGTTTGGGAGAACTCGAAAAAGCTGTGGAAACACTCATCTGCAGCTCGTGTTCCCACAGCATTTCTCGTTCTCCCAAACTTCCACTCATGTTTTTATAATTCGATAAAAACAGTAAATGTTCTCCATTTCTTAAACAAAGAATGGCTTGTCACACATACATGTACATGTGCTCATTAACAATGATGGAAAACTATTTTCCTTATTATGAGCAATGTGTACATATGACCTTGTGTGTTACTGTACATGTGTATACCCTTTAACTGCATGTAAACTTGCAGGCTAGAAAGGGAGAGACAACAAAAAGATCAAACCAATATTTTACCATCACTGAAAAATGGCACCAAAGACGACACAGAAATTGTTGGGAAAGTATATCATGAATGGGAAACACAGAAGCAAAATGCAATTCCTGAAACACTTCCAAAGGCTGTCCCAGGTACCCCCCTTCCAGGAAAGAAAAACTGGGTTGTTGGTAAATTTGGACGTGTGTTACCAGTTGTGTACTTGAGGCGTAGAGACAGGAAGAAGATAGCCAAGTTTGATCCCAGTAAGACAACACACTGCTTGAAAAAAATTAAACCTGAGGATCTGAACACTACTGTATCTGAATTGACATGGCACTTGGAATCAGAAAAGGAGATACCAAGTGGAACTCCAGGAAAGTTAATGCAACTGAAAGGGAAGAAACAGCAGAAATCGAAGTCAAAGGATGTCGATTCTACCAAGGCGGATTTTGATGTTGGTAATGGTTTAGAAAGGTATGAAAAGAAAGCGAGTGCTGAAACACTGAAGGGTAACTTTGTACCATCCCCATCTGCTTCTCATACAAAAAAGCTGTCAGCTTATGGTAGTGGTGATTTGGAGTCTGATTCCAGTGCGTCACATTCAGAATCAGATACAGATCATTATCATCGCTCTGCAGAGCTTAAGGGATATACATTGAGCAACACAGAGAGACATGGCTCGAATACATTTGATAGTTCAACTTCCAGTATGTCACCCTCTCGTGATGCCCTTTCAGTTTCTACACCTTCAAAAATGAACATTGTTCCAGTAGAAAAGAAGAAGACAGATGTGCTTTCATGTAAAAGTGAAGTAAAAAGTGCTTCGTGCACAAAAATTCAGAATGAGAATAATGATATCAGTGGCAGTTTGGTATCACCTAACATTGGTAGAGTACAGCTTGAGAATGATAAGAATTTGTCAGATGAAAACAGCTCAATAACAAGTGACAGGAATTCTTCAGACGGTTCTGTTGAAACATCAGATATGGAATCGAGTGGAAGTGAAATTGTAATCAAAAGTAGTAGAGATCAGCTATCTCCAGAGATTGCTTCGAAGTTAGTTGGCGAAGTTAGCCCTTTGGACAATTCCGACAGACTCCTGATACGATCTCCGAAAACAAAAGATGAATCAAAGGTCACAGATAGTCCACATAAACAGAAGCATTCAAACGAGAAACGACTAGATGCCTTAAAAGACAAAAAGAAGACTTTGCTTGCTCAGAGAAATTTAATCAAGGATGCCTTAAAGGATCTGGACCCTGGGACACAAAGCCATGATGGAAAGAAGCATATTGTGTTTTTTGATAATGATGATGATGCAAGCGGTGATAAAGTAATGGAGAAAGCTGCTTATTCTATTGGAGACAAGGTTAGAATATTTGACTATTGTGTACTGCAGATTATATCCAGAGATCGTTTTTATGGTTGAAGCGTTTGACTCATTTTGACTCAAGAAGCCCATTTTTTTTCCCGGCCTTCGCGTTCCGTCAGGCTCCTTCTTGACTCCTATTTTGTGGCATGAAGGGGCTTAGAATTGTTTGTATTCGCGTAAGTATTGTCATCCTTTTGTCCAAGTTTATTGATCTTGTAAGTCGGTAAGTAGAACCGTTATAGACTAGCAAAACCTCTCTGAGTGTAAGAACATTGAAACCATGCGTATCTGTACATAATGTATCTTTAACTTAAGCATGTCTCTGCACTTCAGATTTCAGGTTCCAAAGCCAGTTCGTGGCTAGGATTGGAAAGTGACAGTGATGAAAGCCATGAGCAGGAAGGTGATGACGGCCATGACAAATCTAGTCATCTTGTCACAGTGAAATCGCATTTTGAAGGAAAAGCTGGAGAAGAGGTACACGTATTTCTTGTACTTTTTGTAGACTTTGTTGCTACATGGAACTTGCAACCGTATGTAAATCTTGCAGAGATGTGTTGTATCGCAGTATATTAAACAAGCTTACATGTACACTGTAATGCAAAATTCCTGTAACTTCTTTGTAGCTTTTCAAATTGCAAAGGACGTTTGGAGGGGATAGACGCTTTGAGCTTGACTCGCGTTTCTTAGAAAGTGAAGACGAAGAAGTCAGCAATAGTAGAGACAAAGATGAAGAAGCTGCCTACTCTGATGCAAAACATTTATTGTCAGAAAGGAATTCAGAGACTATCTCCTCACAAAACGATGATGAGATTAGCAGGAGTCTTGCCGAAGAAAAGGCGGTTGCCATGAAAGTTCTCAGCAATATTTTTGGTGGGAATTTCAGGGCTGATCACAGCAGTCGAGAAAGTCAGGAAAAGAACCCGGAATTCAGGTATCTATAGTCTGGTGTTTGACCGAACTTGTGTTTGTGAAATGAATAGTAATTATAACTGGACCGCACCATTGAGCAGTAGAGTTAGCAGAACGGCAGGGGATGATCCGATTGAAAAAGTCTTTTTGTTGTTTTCCCATTCTACCGAAATTCCGTTATTGAACCTTAATCTGTGCCGTATAGGCCGGGGCTCAGGGGTGGCAACACGTACTCACAACTTGACTCAAAAGATGGAAATTTGTCATCACATGCATAGGGAAATTAGAATTGACTTTGACAGTGGCTTGTTGGCCAATTTGAATCATGATGCATTTACGTGTCTTGCTTAATGCGAACGGGGTAAAGTTTATCGGAGAGCGTAATATTGCTGGGGTAAAAGTGTTCCTACAATTCATGTGAGGTTTTAGTACTCTATTTTGTTGTTTTTGTTGTTTCCTTTTCTTTGTTAGTGAGCTGGTTGTTTATTTGTTTATTTATCTATTTATTTTTATTTTCTGTTGGAACTCCAGTTTAGTCCATTACGATCCGGCTCGAGAGGACCACAAGCAATTTGAACAGACCGCGTCAGAGGAAACAGAGCAGGAACCAGACCCTGCATTTGTTGATGAAAAGCAACCAGAGGACCCTGTATTACCCGACGTTTCCCAAGACAAGTATTACGATGCTAACACGTCTTCGTTGGCGGAGCTCTTTGGAAACAAGAAACAGGTGAGAGGAACGATGTTCATAAAATCTATTTTGTGTCCTGGAGGTGGCAGATCTGGGACAGCCGGTCCTTTTGCTTCGAGAATTGAAGACGAAACGTCTCTTCCTCGGCCTATTTTTGGAGCAAGAAAGAGCCGGCGAGTTTCAGGGACTCTGTAGATTCGATGTTGCCTTAGTGGTGCACGTATTGCCCATTAGCAACTGTTGTCATAATTAACCGTTATCAAACAATATTGTGCCATGTGAATTTACTGCTCTCGGTTTTACGGTTAGCTATAGCTACAGGCAATACTCTCAAGGAAAAATGACATCATTAAACCCCCAAAAATAACAAGGGGTACATATGTCTTCTTGTACTGAACATAGCTCATTAAACAAGTATCTTACATTTCCATTTGTCTCTTCCTGTGCAGGGTACAACTTTCACGTTCCTTTCCCAAGAGCCAGAGGACGATGCAGATTCCACTCGTGACGAACACAGTCAAGTTGGAGCAGTTGAGCAGATTAAGACAAATCATTGGCAGTCTGCAACTAAACTTCCATATGACAGTAGTGACGATAACGACGATGACGATGGTGATGATGTGGACTTTGGGGGTACTGGTCGTCAGTCTGGTAAAGCCACGTCACAACTTGACGAATTGTTCTTCTTTCATCCAGATGACCCTGAACTGGCAAATCGTATCAATGGTAAGCCAAACTAAGGAGACTCTACCTGTTGAATTGCTTTGGTTATTTGTCAGGGTGGTGTACATGTAGTTGCGGTTTCAGGGAGGTTTTGCATATACTGTGCGACATGTATGCGTCGATACCAACATACGTAGCTTTCATAAATGATGGTATTATGCCTGACATACCTGACTGACAGGGTGGCCCCGGGTGGAATCTCACTCTCTCTGACAGTTGGGTGACGCTTGGGAGCGAGCCAACCATTTTCCATGTAAATTCGTTGGTTAGTTTGCCTCTCTTAGTAGTGACAACTCGAGACATACAGAGCCTTTGCAAACCCCAGACAACCCATTACTGGCTCGGTTATTGGGGATAACCTTTCTTTCATACAAATGCTCCCATTGGAGACAACAGGTCTCCATATAAACTGAAATACCGGCCGTATTCCGGATGACATATTCTTGATATCTGAAGGCATGAGCTTCAATGACTTTCTTCACCTTATGATCTTCAACTGTAGGTTGCTGTGTGGTTTTGAAAACAAGCAAATAGTTTAAATTGCAATTACTTGGAATTTTAAATCCGAAAGTGGGAAAACGTCGCGCCACGGCACTCACTGCGGGTTCAGGATACGGCGTGCTCTAGCCGCTCGTCACTTTTTTGAAGGCTCCTGTTCAGCTGAGTAACCTTAGTAAGAGTAATGGAGGTGACATTAACAATTGTCCAAACACGAACGTGAAACTTGTGACAACTCTCCAACAGTTCTTGCGCTTTGATAAGCCAGTTCATAGGAAAGACATCAAACGTTTGCCAAAAGATGTCAAAATGTTGTCAGAAGTTAATCAACTCCTTGTTAAGAAGCAACAGTATGTCACGCAACACTGTGATATAGACACACTGAATGTTCCGTTGCAGATCAAGAATCGCAGTTTATGAGAACAGGGAGCGAAGAGGAAGTCAGCGAATACTGGGTGAAGGTGAGATCTGATCTCACGCAGGACTACAAGAGAAAACGAAAAGATGCGGTGCGGCGACAGAACAAATTGGCTGCTAAGAGGACAAGACATAGATGACAGCAGTTCTTGTTAGCGCTCACTTTGACAGGTGGTTCAACTGTACATCGTACTAATACATGTAATACTCCGGCGCTGTTCTATTTGAAGTGCATCCATGCAGATATTGACGTGGAGAGCAACAACCGAGAATTTACTCTTTATTAGCAAGGTAACTTGTATTGATCGTTTTTTTTTTTTTTTTCCCACAATTATCAAGAAACGGTAAAGAAGGTACACCTTGATCAGAAGAATAGAGCAACTGATAACCAAAAGGAAGTTGTGTTACTGGGTATCCAAATTGTACCGACTACACATGTAACCTTGCTAAAATAAAACTGGGTAGAAAAGAAAATTACATGCTTGGTTGTTAACTGAGTCGTTCCTTAACTTATGTTCAACTAACCTTGATATGTAGGATGTTCCACCTTTCACCTTCTGAATTGTGTACACTTCCCATATCTTTTAGTGAATTTACGATTAGTATTTTCGTTTGTTCGTTTGTTCGTTCGTTCGGTCGGTCGGTCGACTGCTCGTTTGTTCCAATCGTTCGTTCGCTCGCTCGTTCGTTCGTTCGTACACTCGCCAAGTCACTCGTTTGCTTGTCAGCCTGCGAACAAGCTCCCGGTGAGCCCGTCCCGCCCCGATCGCTTCGTTCTCGAAATTATTCTGTTTCACGCTCGGCAAATGTTTTTTTTTTCCGTCCTCGCCGGGAGCCTATTCGCAGGCCATTTGCTTGTTCGCTCATTGTTCCGCGATCACTTCGATCATTCAGAGTTTAACAACGAGGTGTTAATCAGGGAAATGAAAATCCATCTTACGCTCTTACTGCTCGATTAGCCATATGGAGTCCATTCCAAGAAGGACAGTTCCTCCTGACTGAACACGTATAAGGCCTCAGTGCTAAGAGGTTTAAAACACCAAGCTAACCTGTTCCCGGCGTTTGGTTGGTGCGGCGCGAAGGAGTGGAAAAAGGCGAGGGGTTTAGCAGATCCCCTCTTCTCGCGCTAGCCTCGTTGCCCTTTTGCTCGCCCTCACAAACCAAGAGCCTGGAACAGGCTAACACTAATCATGTTACCCGACCTTTATCCCCTAAATATTCCAGCCTGTGCTAACAAAAAAATTAAGGAACAAGCAGCAGATCAATGGCCGAGGAAAAACTTTAAATTTGTAATAACAAAACCTCTTTTATTTCACACTGCTCTCTACATTACTGGCAAATTAATATGTTACAGAAGATGTAAACGCTATCCATTTCTCATGTGAAAATCCCGCGGTAAAATGCTTACTCGCCAGTGGACGGGAGCAGCAGCATAATGACCACTTTGAAATTGGGGGTTTTCGATGATAAGCTAAAAATGTCTGGCACTACTTACACAGGGGACCCTAGCAACCAACTAAAGGGATAATAACATAGATCAACGCATTCTTTCTTCGTAGCGACCATATTTAATTTTAAATACGCGGTAATCTGGTAGGAGGTCTGGAACTGATAAGTGTTCGTTAACTTGTTGTGCGATCGGAATTTCCGAATTCTTTAGGCCGTTCAAGCGCCCGTTAATTTTCTGGCTCCACACCTCGGCATCGTAAGGGATGACAGTATTATTAAAATTCAAAATGGCCACCAGAAAAAAGGGAGCACGTTGAGAAAGTTCCCTTTTTTTCGTTCTGTATTTTGATCTGAGAATCTCTTTATGCTTACTAACATTTTGATGCTCTTGCGATTTCTTGTGGCTAAGAAAACGAGCTAGACCACAACTTAATAAAAAAATAAAGCTCTTATTAGGAGAACATCAAGTAAGATTTACTGAGCATCACTTTGTAACAGTGTCCCAGTGCGTAATAGGAACGCAACTAAAATACTCTGATTTATAAACAGCGGGTTATTGTAACATCGATAGTCTGTTCATTTAGTGTTTCCTCGGTTTCCCCTGAACTTGATCCACTTCAAGTAACGTCCGACACTCGTGTAAACGGTGTAGCGATAATCACGGTGGCAGCCGTCAGGAAGCACACTCAGCCCCCAGCTCATCACACCCCCTAGCACCCACTTCGGTTTGCTATGGTTGGGGCTGCTTACAGGAAACATCAGTGGAGATCCGCTGTCTCCGACGCAGGGAGTTTTTTGGTATTCCTTGAACCCGGCGCAGATCATGTTCAGAGGGTCGTAGTTGATCTTCGTCCATCTGCAGCGTGATCTGTGTTCGACGGAGACGGCTACCTCATGCAGTGTACTCCGGACTCGGTGTTCTGAGGTCTTACCCCAGCCCACAACCACACCGTCTCTTGAAGTTCCAGGTCCTAGGAGATGATCGACTTCCATTCTAGTTGGCATACAGATCGGTCTTACTTTCTCGGTGATTTCGATCGGCTTCGCCAAGCGGACGAGAGCAATGTTCCCAGAGAGAACCTTCCGATCTAAGGTGAGACTTTGCTGGAAGTCTTTGTGGACTACGATTTGCGACACATCGTGCAATACCAGCTTATGATGTGAATTGCCTCGTGTGAACGCGCCTAGCTCTACCTTGATATACTTGGCAGGGATGACTCTTTGTCCAAGATACAGACAATGGGCGGTGGTGATGAGCCATTCCTTGTCTATGAGTGTGGCCATACAACCCTCGATGTCTCCAAACACGCTGAAGTAAAGCAGGGCAGTCCAAGGCCAAGTTGATTCCTGCTTTCGATGCCATCTCCCTGGGAATGTTTTACTCGCAAGGGGTGCGATGCCGCACTCTACAAATGTGAATAGTAAGAAAAAGTAACAAGATAAGCAAAGCCAAGACGCGCGATGGGGTAGCATAGATAACACGCATTAACGTAAAAATGGAAGGTGTCTGTTTGGAAAATACTTACAAAATACAAAATACAAAAATAAATAAATAAATAAAATGACTGTTTCATCTTGCGGGAAGAAGTATCTGCTAAGAGATATTCAAACACCACCCTGATTTTAGAGAAGTCTCTGTTTGGCTTTGGACACAGACAAANAAAAAAAAAAAAAAAAAAAAAATGCCAGAAATGATGACTTGCCGTGACGGAACGGAATTAAAACGCTGCGACTTCAGGCTTCTCTCGCCTGAGGATTAGGCTGAGACCGGGAGATGACTGACATTTAAAGCCACATTACCTCTTACCCGTCGCCAAAAAGTAAACCCACTAAAACAGCCTCTCGAACAAAGTCCAGGACAGTCAATTTTTTGTATTAACGTTATTAAATCAGGTTTATGCTCTTAAAAGGTCCTGTGATAACTACAACTAGGAGCTAGATGGAATGCAGGGGCAATTGACGGTAGTAAATCTACCTGAGGTTGACTTGAGTGTTGCACATCTCTCTCCAATATATAGCAAGGACTTACTGGACATCATAGCTGTTTTTGCTCACCTTGTAGATCTTTCTTTTTGCCACATGAGTGACCATCAATAGACAGAAATAATCCCTTCTTGCAGGAACAAGTATAACTGCCGAGAGAAAGTTTTAAGAACAACAACAAGTGAGGAAAAGACAGGTCTTCGTTAAACGTGTTTTTGTTTGTTTGTTTCTTTGCCTGTTTTCTCTCTTTATTCAGTGCGGGCTAAGCTTTGTACGTACGCAAAACAAGTGTCAGCATTGTATTGAATCTAAAAACCGGAGGCAAAACTTTGTTTCCGTTATGTACTTACCTATTAACCAAAACAGTCTTTACGCGCTATATTTCAAATTGCAAGTAGACCTTTGCTTGTCACGCAACACAATTTAACGGAGTGCGTTACGCGACGTGACAAATAAAGGGCCACAAAGGACACCGGGCGAAGAAAACGAGCGTGACAGATAATTACCTTCCATCAGTGTTTGTGCAGTTGTGTTGGCATTGGTGAGCACCCTCCTCGCACTCATTGATATCAAAACACATTGTCCTCTGTCTCAGTTTGTAACCATCTCTACACGCACACTTGTATGATCCTAACGTGTTCTTGCAAATGTGATCGCAGTCTCCTTTGTAGTCACTAGTTGCACACTCGTTAATGTCTACACAACGATTGGTACTGCGGTTGTTAAAAATAAGACAAAGAATCAATAGAATGATTCACCTTTCCCAACTTTCCTAGATTAGCACATCACGTCGCAGGGCCGAGTTTAGCCATGGAACAAAGTTGTCGCATGTGGCTTTAAAGTGCCACTGAAACGAAATTTTCGTACTCTCTTTTATTATCCCAATCTGTAGTTTCAAACGTGCTTAAAGTAATGGTGAACTTTATTTCTGTCAAATCCTAACGGAAAGTGCATTTTTTAGCTGTTGAAATCGACTTTTTGGAGCAAAACTGTGTCCGGGCTCTGGTACCGAGTTTAAGGACCNAGTTGTTGTTCTTGTGAAGAACGGCCAACAAATGAACAAAGAATTAAAACGCACGCTTACACAGCCATTGTACGCTTGCCGTTGCCATTGCGGTTTCCTTATTTAACTCCCTGAAATGGAATGAACGGCAAAAGAATGACCAGTCAAACAAGCACAAAGCACACGAAAACCCAGCCGAACATAAAGAGGGCTGAGAGTGCAGAAAGCGTCTATGCTATGAAACGTCTTTTGAAAATCAAAACATAAAATGACTTTTCGCAATTCCCGCCATTTCGTCTCAGGTAGTTGCGAGAATGTCCACGCGTCGCGCGAGTAACATCCTTGGAAGAACTGGGTACTACATGTATGTCTAAAAATAACACGAGGGATTACCTTGGGTTTGAGGTCTATATATATGTGGGATTCACCCTCTTATCTAGATATTTCCTTGTCATTAACATTTTTTTTTTCTTTTGCCTAGGTTCTCCCTGTTATTCACTTGACTGCAGTGGCCAGAGCCACTACGCACTGGTTGGATCTTGACTCGGTTTTACTGCGCTAACCACAAGTTACATGCATGCTATTTTATTAGAGATCTTTAGATCCACATTTACCTAAAACGTCTAACTGCGGTTTGAGGTTAGACGTGTGCCGTTCCCGTTCAGACGTTCTTCGAGTTAGATTGGAGTAAGTTCTTACGAATAGAAATCATCTTGTCAATGCATTGGAAATTGTCAAAATTAAAAAAATTGACACAAAATAGTATGTTTTATAACATGTGTAGCTTTCTAAAGAAATAAAGCATCGATCATAAATCACACATTCAACTTAAGCCGCCGCCATATTGGATTTCCACTTAGGATCAGTGCTTTTCTACAAACAACAACAAAACGCTAGGCAATTGATTATTTGCCTAAAAATTAAAACCAATTTGTAAAAAAAGGGTCACTTTATTTGATTTCAGCATTTGTACGTGGCATAAAATAAAATTCAAGGCAGTAACGCGTGAGGTAAATGACTCAAGTGAAAACCTACCTGTTGACGTTCAAATGCGAGTCGAAAACCTCAAACGTGACGTCTAGCTCTGGTCACGTGACCCCAAGCCGTTCGCCGTTTGCGGTAAACGTGGATCTAAAAGTCTTTCCTGTCACCCCTGGTAGCCATTAGAAATAGTTGTAGATAAAACTTTGTTCGATCTTTCACAAATTCTTATCAGTGATCGGCATTTAAATTTAACGAGTAGTTAATATTCGTGACTGGATGCTTCCTAAAACTAACAATCTTGAGTTGTAACAACATAATGGTCGGCAATGCCCTCCGTACAGCTCTTTCGACAAATGTCGCCCACGAAAACCGCTAAAACGATTGGTACTATGGATAGTAATAGTTTAGCGTTACTTCATTGAGGTTCACAGTGTTTCAGCACGAAGGAAAGAGAAAGGATAAGCACAGGCGTTTGCGCTATTTCTTTCTACCACGCTGAAACACCTTGAGTTACACTCAAGCAAACGTAGACCCCCATTAACCATGATACCTTTCGACATACGCGTTCGCGTTTATGGTTTTGTAAGGCAACCTTTCTAAAAACAGCCGTTTGCTTACTTGGGATCAAGCTGGTAACCAGGGTTACATTGGCAAGTATAGCTTCCATAATTATTGAAGCATTTGTGTTCTCCGCAGCCTCCATTTTGCGAAGCACATTCATCGAAATCCAAACATTGTGTTTTGTTGATGTTTGGTTTGAAGCCAGAATCACAGTCACATTCGTAACTAAATGGAAACAGAGAAAAGGAACAAAAAATTAGCTTGTAAATAATTAATTTTCTTTAATCACTTTATTCAAGTGTGGAAGTGTTTAGCACTACTGTACTAAATTGGGGACACCGAAACAAGTAAACAAATGTTGTAAATTGAACATAAACTTGTTAAAAATCCCAACTGCTGTTAGGCTGACCAGTCAGTGGCTATTTACAAAGCGTGGAGGAGTTGAATCTGGAACCAACAGACCAATTAAGTGATACTCCTCTAAAGCAAGCCGAAATAAGTGGGCGTTTGGAAGGCAGACTTAGACGGGTTGCTCACATTAACAAACGAGTTAAGTTTAATTCAATCTCGCTTGTGCTGTTCTGTTCATGTTAGAGTAGAGGCCAAAACACACGGTCACCTGATGCTCAGTCAAACTGGACAGGAACGACCGTGAATGTTCGGAAATTCCCGGATGTGTCCCATCGCAAACGTCACTATTCAAAGCGTTCTACCGAAAGAAAATGGAAATGAGACGCCCTGCCGTCTCCCCCCCCTCTGCCCCCACCCCACTCCAATGGACAGCTGATTGGTGTTCGCTTTTGATGATACTACTTGCGACATCGACAACGCGCAATTTACCTTCCTGGTGTGTTGACACAGTCAAAACAGGCAGGCACTCCTAAAGCACACTCATCAATGTCAATGCACTTGGAGGGATCCATGATGTCCTCGTAGTAACCATCAGAGCATCTACAAATAAAGCTCCCTAGAGTGTTTGTGCATTCATGCTGACATCCGCCGTTATTTACTGCACATTCATCGATATCTGTATGAAGAGGAAATGCAAGATTTGTTGACTGCGCTTATATTGTTTCACAGCTACATGTAAGTTCTGGCGAAACCATAACATATTTCTATTCAATGACTCGGATGAAGAGGCCACTGCCACTGATCAAAGACTTAAAATGTTGACGAAAATGTTTGAAATAGACGATTATTTGGTGTATCTAAGTTTGAAACTAGCAAAGTTGATATTGACAGTGTCTGCGCTCATTCTTGAGATGTCTTATTCTCACCCCAGTATGGTGCCCGTCTTTTATGTGGATTTTCAACAAACGCATTTAAGCTTAACCGATATGTGGCTTTTCCAAACATAATACCTGGATCCCTCGTATCATTTGCCTAAGTCCGTCCGCAAGGCAAACGTTAGAGGAAGTGGAAGTAGTCCACAAAGCTTGACACCGGTTGGAATGTCTCCTTCCAAGTGCTGTTGCCTGAACCACGAACGTTTTGCCCGGAAACATTCAGAATTTCCCCTCCGCCCAGCCCGTACGCTCTGTTGGAGAGCGCAGAACGCGATCGAATACAGATTGCGAAGCGCGAACAGGTCGAGGTGAGACTTTCAGTGCCCAATTGTTTTGTTGCATTGAGGTTCGTGTATTAAGGAGATACCTTTGTCTTACCTACACACGTCTTGGTGTCACTCAGAAGCCGATAGCCTGCAGGGCACTGACATTGGTAACTTCCAGCTGAATTCAAACAACTGTGACTACACCCTCCGTTGTTGATATCACATTCGTTGATATCTAATGATCAAAAATCATTCGATCCGACAACAATCAATCAAGCAATCAGTCGATCGATCAATCAATTTGGCAACAAAACCAAGCCTGCTAAAGCAGTTTCCCTTATCGCTTTCAGTCGCGAACGCTTAAAGAGCCTTGGAGCAATTATAGGGGTGACAATGTTTAACTTCTAAGTTAGTGCTTGTTTGTTTGTTTGTTTTCTTGTTGTTGTTTTTACTCTAGTGAACATTTAAACCATAAATTTGAACTGCGAGAGAAAGATTAAAAGACCCGAGAGATCATTGTAGTTATGTACGTAACTTAGACAGTATTTGCTTAGTTTCGATACAGCTAAATAAAACAATATAGAATCAACAAAACCAAATCAAATGATCAAAGAGCATTTGTACTAAGTACTCATGGGGATTTACTCGAGGTATATTCCAAAAACAACCGAATAACCAAATAGAATAATAAAGCAGGGGGAAAAATGCGCTTAACGGAATATCACACCTCGGCATTTCTTGTTGTTACTGCTCTCGAATTCAAATCCAGGGTAACATCTGCAGCGGAAGCCTCCAGCTGTGTTGATGCAGTCGTGATTACAGCCGCCATTGTTGCTAGTGCATTCATTTATATCTGAGTTATAAAACAAATCGATGGCGCAAACATATTAAAATGACGTATTGTTTTTTCAAGGCGCATAAGCCGCGAAGTTTATACTACAGACTTTTATTCCTTACAGTACCTAGTTATTACAAATTTTTATTTGAACCAATCAGATCATCTTCTTCGAACGGTTACACGGAAAAAATTTCAGGATATGCCAAGGTACGTCGAAATGGAAGCTTCCATGAAGGAAAACTTGGAATGCAAACGTGCGTTTTATAAAATAACTAAGCTACTACGCGCGCCCTCATTGGTCGATAGGTATGTTTAGTTGAGAGCACATAAACACGGTTGGGTTTAGATTCGGGCGTATTTTTAAGAATCATTTTATAAAAGCAATAGACGCCTTTTTCCGTGTTTACATAGCCTCATCTAAACACTCGGGGGACTGGAAGAATTCTGGAAAGTTATGCAAACCCGAGATTTAGTCGGGGGTTTGCATAACTGTCTCGAATTCTCCCAACCCTCCTCGTGTTGTGCTCTATTGCTTAAATCGCGCAGAATAGAAAGGCGGTTTGGCAGAGCAAAGTGCCGAGCAAAATAAACGAGCGCGGACCACGAGACCGAGTATGAAGCGCGCTCGAGATCGGAATAACTCGTCTTGCGCTCCACGTTCGTGTATAGCGATTAACGCTAAGCCTGGCTGAATAGCCCGTTCTGCGCGATACATCGTGTTTTCAATGGAGCTCAGACACGGGATTTTGAGCTATTTTGGACACATGCAAAATTACCTTTAAATTGAAGGAAACGTGAAAGTAATAAGTTACTACGATAGAGAGGCAATAAAGAGATAATAATAATGAGACGATAATGATAACAAACAACGATCTTGAAAACCTTAGGCCAAACTTTTCAAGATGCGTAAACCGTGACTTAGCTCCTTTATGTCATCGTTATTGCTACATATTTTCTTGTTGTTTCAAGAAGGCCAAAATGACCAAAGTTACAGGTACTCATTGCTCGTTGTACCTTCACACTTGATCTTGTTGCGAGTAAGAAAGTAGCCTTTCCTGCATGCGCACACGCGGCCACCACGAACATTCATGCACAGTTGATGGCATCCTCCATTACTGACTCTGCATTCGTTGATGTCTGCAGGAGAAAGAAAGAAATTACTACTTGATCAAGAGAAGTTCAAGGTACCTTGATCATCTCTTGTACTTGATGTATTTCTTAAAGATGATCATAGAATTACTAAAACGGCTATCCTGGAAAACATAATGAATACCTTCATATCTTTGAATGTAGAGGCTTAGCAGTTTTAAGTTGCCTTTTTAACAATTGCTTGCACTGTTTTTAATTATATTCGCATTTTGTCTACGCTAGTTAACTTAACGTGGCAGTGACCAACCCGAAAGCCTTAGCTACTTTGGATACTGCGCACATTTACTTTCCATTTATTGTAATGTGTTTTTTGTTTCTGTGTTTTTGTTGGTAATATTATGTAATATTTATTTATAGATTGATTGTTAAAAGTAATGGCAACGGTACAAAACAATAAAAAATCTGAAATCAGAAAAGGCTGTCGTTTATGAGTGATATTTCTACAATCCAAGGGCAAGTCATCTTCAGAGATCGGGGAAAAATCGTTTGGTCAGCCGGTGTCACTGTGTACATTGACTGCATATCGATCAATACGTATACCTCTCCGGATTGATGGTCATTGTGCCACAGCCAACAGTCTTTTGCAAGGTCACGTCCCAGAATTACAACCTACATGATATCACATTGTTCAAAATTTGCAAAATCGCAGAATGTTATAACCTCACCAGCGCAGTTTTTGCCGTCTGGCTGTAGCTTGTAACCTCGCTTGCAAGTGCACGATATGGTCTTTCTTTTTCCAACGTAGACCTCCGTGCATTTGTGTTCACATCCTCCCTTGTTTACAGAACAGTTCACTGACGATGCAACACAACACAAAGATTAAAGTTACTGAAATTATTTCGTTCTTAGTTTTAATTGATTGCTTCTAAACGTCACTTCCGTCAATAAAAAAGATTCTAGGTTGCTGCCCAAGCGTGAGGTCAAAATGGCCGGATAGTGGCCGATTTTTTTTGTGTATGTTCATGGACTGAGACCATTAGAGTCGAGTTCCATAAACACGCAAAAAAAAAAAAAGAANAAAAAAAAAAAAAAAAAAAAAAAACGACGCCAATATCCAGCCATCTTGATCGAAAAAGCTCCGTCACTAAAGGATTTATTTTATGGAAAGAGAACACTGTTTTCTTGCGGCATTTCTGGGAAATGAAATTTTATTCTCACTTTTATGTTGTGCATTATTTTAATTGGTGGGCAATAGCTTGTATAAGAAAAATTTTTTAACGATAATGACGATTTTTTTCCCAGTCGTTTTTGCTCAGCAGGACATTTTTTTGGCAATTGCCCAACCCTTCTCCCCGCTCCCTGAAGAAAAATAATGGTCCGTCCCTTACATGGAGAAGATGTGGGTACGCTGCAGTTCTTTTCGTCCGAGTTATCTCCACAGTCATCGCTGCCATCACATATCCATAACTTATTCACACACGCCCCATTAGCACAGGTCATTTGGTTGCTGTGGCAAGGACAGTTTAGTTCATCGGACATGTCTCTGCAGTCGTCGTAACTGTCACACCGCCATTTCGTATCAATGCATTTGCCATTTCTGCACTGAAATTTCCCTGAAGGACATGAAGGCTTGGTGGTGGTCACCACTCGAGCTGCAGTTGGGGGGTCTGTGGTAGATGGTAGTGTCCGTTGTTGGTTCCTTGGTAGTGCTGTTGAGAGTGGAAATATTGATGGTAGTTGAAACAATGGATCTAATGGAAAACGCAGGAAAGTCGCATCAATAAATCACCGCGAGCGCAAAATCTAAAAAGGGAAAAAAATGGGGGGAGGGGGTGCGACAAGGTATGCTATTCGTAGCCAGTACTATCCTTTCCTCCATCAAGCGTCAAACTTACACGTCGGACTTCATGGAAGCTGACGCACAGTACAGGGAAAAGGCAAAGAAACTGAATACCGCAAAATTAATAATCAAAGCGTTTGCGACTTTCAAATTTCAATCTGTTTAATAAAGCTCGAGAGCCCATAAGCGCTCCGAACGTAGCCTCACCAGCAATGCGCTGCAAGGACGCTTAGCAACGTCGCGCGAGTCGCTACAATACAACACCCAAAGAATTACAAAAACTATTACTTGTATCTTGTCACCACTTACGTTTAGCGTGATAGACAAATTGGAAACCCTTGTAATTTTTTGACTGATCAGAGTAAAATCGAATGAGCACAGCGTTGCTTGTAGAAAAGATGCTGAAGGGTCTCAGATATCCGCAGAACTTTCCAAGCGAACGGTTCTGGATCAACGGACCATCATGGACTTCAACGTAGTCATAGCAATATCCCACTGCAATAAATCAAAGGGAAGGAAAAATTCTGTATTCTGGATCCAGTTGTTCAAAGGACGATTGAGCTAATCCAAGGTAAGCCTGCATTTTGATTTTAATTCTGCTACTTTTCTGACTTCTTATTTTTCCGTTAGTCTGTTAATAGTCTTTTTTTGGCCTTTCAATTTTGTTTTTATCGTATATGTCAAACTGCTCGAAATATTAGCAATGAAAACAGTTTTACACAACAGATACATTTTTAGAAAGGTTGATTAACTTTCGACCCAGGATTAACGTCGATTAGCCCACCTGAAGCCGTCTACTTTTTGCTTGAACACTGATCTAATTTTAATCCCATGTACAACCAGGAATCGTTTTTAAAGGAGCTACGTCACGGCTAGCGCATCTTGAAAAAGTTAGCCTGAATGATTTAAATTCGTCGTTTGTAATCCGCGTTAATCTTTTCCATCGTTTACCATCCTTTTTCCTTTATGATTTATTATTATCTCTTTGGTGTTTTTCTAACTTAGTAAACTACTATTTTCAGGTTTCCTTCAACTTAAGGTAATTTTAATTTGTACGTCGCCAAAAGACCGTGATTGAGCTACTTTAAGTCTAGATACATTATCGAGCTCACATGAAATACAGGAAATATTTTTATTGAACTTTTCCAAGGGGGAAGGGGGGTGAGTCCAGCAACTGATCTTAGTCGTTCCATTGTGTTCTTTGGCAAGACATCTATCTCACAATGCCTCTCTCAATTCAGGAGAAGATATATTACAGAAAATTGTTTGGTGCAGGCTTAGAAGAGACAAGCTGACGGTCATCTTTAATACTTGGTCAGGAAAGAGACGGGGAGCTAAGGATAATAGAGAGAGCTAAGTGGTGATTAAGGAATGGAGACGGGGCAGCATTTTGTCAAAATACTGGAAAGCTGAACAGCACGTTTATAAATATGTATATCTCAGGATTGCCCTGTACCTCGCGGTAGCAACAAAGGATAATTTTTCATCACGGCATGTACAACTAATTTTAAACTTACCTGGGTTTGATCCAGCAGGTTCAACGCTAAAATTCTGGAATTTTACTTTGACTCTCAAGCCTCTGGGAACTGTGATCTTGTACAGGCAGTTGGACCTTCCGGGGTAATTATTACCGGGATAGCCTGGTGACTTGATTTTCCCTTCCCTTCCGCCGTACGTTCCCCCGCATGCTAAAAATGAATTAAAACAAACATTCATTAAACTTGAAAATTACAGAAAATAAGTTCTACAATAAAAGCTGAGCGTGTCCATGAGAGAACCAGGCAGGAGGTGATACAGCTCAAATGACCGATTTCCCTGAAACTTGGCAAAAATGTTGAGTTTACTGAGTGAGTGAATGATTATGGCAGAAAGGAGGACCCCCTGCAAAAATGGCCATTTGACACATATTTGTGCACATTCTTAAAATAAGCTGGTCTCAGGTTGCCGCCAGTCTTCCGACGCCCGCGCTACTCCAGCTCCTGGCCCTGTTCGGTTTACGTTCTTCCCAACGGATTTTCGAGCTAAAGAGAGACTGCTGGCACTCAGTCTACCACTTCGCCAACCTGCAGCTGATGAATTATTCATGAAGAACTCACAGTCTCCCACCGTTTTGTTTGACGGTCACCGCGGGCTCAAATGATTCGCACAGCGGCTTACAGTCAAATTGCAGTCAACACTCAATTTGCCCACCAAATAACTTGTTTTAGTGGCCATTATGATGTTACCTATTTATGGTGATTATCACGAGTTATCTCAAAAGCTTTTTGATTTTCCTCACGCTTGTTACTGCCGGTTTTTCACTCGAAGGAGAGGCTGCTAGTGAGTTAAACATTACGTTCACTCTTCAGCCCAAATCGAGCACCGCTGACAGCTCAAAATAATTTCAGAATGATGTTTGGCGTTGGGTTATGTTCGTGGAAACACCATTTGACCAATCTTTGATAAATGCGGTAAAATTTAGCGCAACCTTCATTTGCTTGTATAAAACTGTGAGAAATTATACGAAATAGTTCAGAGCTGTCACGTGCGAATGCGGTTTTAGATTTTCCGTAATTTTCTGAAGATTACGAATACATACCGGAATTGCTTAAAGACACTGTTGATCTATTCCTGCCTATAATCCCGGTGGGAATATTTCGACGTTACTAATGGAACCAAATCGAACGTTCGATTAATCGAACCCAGTTGAGTTCGATTGAGTTCGGTAATCGAACACAATCGAACTCTAACAATCACATGTTTGCTTGCTCTCGATTGTGTTCGATTGAGGTCGCATACATGTAGTTTGCATGATTGAGTTCGATCACGTTGAGACATTGTGATTGAAAAAACAACCGTCGACCACAGACCAGCGGAGGAAAATTGGAGGAGGCTAATCTTCGCTGTCAGCTCGCACTCGTGCTCACCAATAAAGTCACCCGCTACGCAGGCTGGTTGGGTTATTAAAACTACCTAGGCTGATAAAACACAAATCATAAAATGGAATGGACCTACAGCGTCACTCTCAAGATTTTTCGATTTTGCTGTCGGTTTATCTTTTCATTTGTAAAATCAGTGTATTTCCCATGCATGCCCAAACATTATTTCAATAAATATATTACGTCATATAATTAATTCTTTATTCGTAGCGGTTCAGACTAAGACAGGCTGTTCAAATATCTGGTGGTATTTAGGCTAAATTTTAGATTTTTTGATTGTGTTCGGAAATTGACCGCTATCCGAACTTCCTCGCACACATTTCTGAAATTTCTTGGTTCGATTGTCATCAATTATCGAACTAATCGAACACAATCGCTCGAACAGTTCGATTAGTAACGTCGGTGAATGTTAAAAAAAAACTTTTGCATTAATGTTATCGGTGGCGCTTGTAAATCAAAGCAGTGGGGCAGTCAGGACTGTGTTCGTGTCCAACTCCACTTAACTAGATACAAAAGAAAATGTTTATTCGAAGACGTGCTGAGAAAGTTCTGTTTCCGGAATAATTTCATAAGAATTGTCTATAAATTGTCCCGAATAGAAAAGAAGACTTGACTGGTTTCTTAAGTTCTAATCTTAGTAGTGTTCTCCGATTGATCGCTTTTGAACCGCAAAGACTATTGAACAATTTCACCTTTAATTTTTGTGATATAGTTTTTTTTTTTGTCTCCTTAGTCTGAGACCGGAACATCCTTCAAGAAAGAGGACAAAAGGATGCTTCTGACAACTTGACCTGTGTCTCACGCAGGATTTTCCATTTCGCGTGCGTCATATAACCGTTCAAACAACATTTGTAATTGACAGAGTAAGGACTCGTTATATTTAGTGTAACCACATAATTTGCTCAGTCTCACTGATAATTTAAGAGAAAGAATGTGACGAAAACACATTGATATCGATCTTAATCGCACATTAAATTATGCGATCTGATTAAAATCAATGCTGGCAAAGATATTTGACTTACATGTACGCGATCCCTGCCCTTGTCTTGCTACGGTTATGGAAAAAAGCGATAACTGGAGCCTGTAGAATGCCAACAGAAGTATAAAAACACAATTAGAGTCTTATTTTTTTCTAGATTGCGGCTACAATTTCGCACTTCCGATCCTGTCGTTTTACTGAACTTCTAACAGACGCTCACGCAGCACTGATTTGCGCTACAGCATGTGCGTTAGGACTTTAGGAATAATCAGTCTTACCCAAAGGTGAACAATCCGCGATTGCCTATCATATCTGTGCCTTGAAGAAGACAAAATTCACAGACGAAAACGAGAAAAGGTTTTCAACGCACACCGATCAACAGCAGTGAATCGAGACCCAATGCGCTAGCTGTAGTATGGTGTCAGTTTCTCATTTGGCCCATTGTCAGATGATACTTGAGACAAGGCATATTTTTATAATAATCCATCAATTCCCCAGGGATTTCCTCCCAAACATCAACAAAATTTCTTACACCGATAGCAATTTCAAAGTCCCAAGGCTCTTTTTGGCCTATCAGCTGATAAGCAAGTACTTATTTATTAAATCTGAAAACTTGAGCTGATAACGTTTGAGCTCAACACAGCTTTGAGTAGTAATCTCGACAAAAATGTGGCAAAAATCGTGGATCCGTTCCAGAAGTAACTAAAGCTGGTCAATAAGGTATAGGGTTACCCCTGATAACCGCGTCAAAAATAACAGTGAAGTAAGCTTCGATCTTCCTGTCTTTGAAGCAGGCTGAAATATGGCTGCCTCGTTGCTCTGGTGCACGTAAGTCATTGACAGAAAATCAGTCGATACATTTATCTCTTCATTTGTTAACGGATGTAAATGTATTTGTATTTTGGTAGGTTTTTTACGAGTTTGATTTTGGCGTCTAACGCGATCCTACTAAGAACCCATCGACGTTCGTCTCACCAAAGATCGAGAGACGGTAAGTGGGACGATTGAAATGACTTTTACCGCGTCTCTTTACTACATTCTTATCCTTGAAATCAACCTCGTAGATTAATCACATCTTTTAGACGAAAGATCTGATTGTCACAGAAGTCAGAGCTCTGTTTGTCAAGAAGTCTTATAAGATAGACAAACTAAAGGAAGTGAGGATGATACAGAAACGAAGACGAGAACTTGTAGGTTTCGAATGATTCTTAGAGGCTTTTCGTGAATATAACCGCATTAAAAGAGCTCGTACACAGTTTCGACATTTCTGCGTTGTGGACTTCCCAGATCAGTGTGAATTTGTTCCTTCTTCACGGTCTTCCTTCCTCAGCAATGTCCTTGTTGCTGAAGCACGTTGGAAGGGTTTCAGTGCTACGGTACTGAGTCGTTCGGCAGTGCCATCCTAAAGAAATTATGCAGATAACAACTGTAAGGAAAATAAGTCTTAACGTACTGCTGTATGTTCATAACAGAACTATACAGTTGGACCTCGTTAATTCGAACTCGGTTATTACGAATTCCTCGCTATTTCGAAATCCAAACCATTTCACTTTACCAGCCTTTACTATCGCCATCGGCGTCTTCGAACTCCCGCTATTTCGATTTTTTTTTGTTTTGTTTCGTTTCCCCTGATCACGAGTGTGCGAAATAGCGGGGTTCAACTGTACATCTGCCAATAAAACCATAGTTAACCATAGTTAACTATGATAAAACGTTCTGTTTATATGTTGCACGAATCTCTTTGGTCGTGACTGTCTTCGAAAGTGTTCAGTGATCCTTGATCGATGCTGTACTGGGAAACTCTAACCAGACAGTACTAATCGATGACATCACTGGCATCAAAAAACAATAAATGGGTAATCGATGGGATATCAGTTGATTAGACATTGATTATTATCGATGATCATTGGGTAATCGATGAATAATCTCGTGGCTACACAAACCACACCAAATCGATAAAGAAATAAAAAGAGCTTCTTCAAGGTGCAAAATTAAAATACTTATTTATCTATATATTTACTGGGATATCGAGTAGGAAAATTGTGAATAGTTCAAATTGAAATTAACGGGATATAGGATATTTAAACCAAAAATTAACGGGATATGGGATCTCCCTCCCNCACCCCCAGCCCCACTAAAAAAAAAATTGGGGCCTCATGATTGCCGCGTGGGACGCCGAGAAAGAAAAGTGGGTTTTGATCTTCTTGCATTGTCGAAAACCTTGAAAATTCCTTAAAGCAGCGCCACTATATAGGAGAAGCTGCGCTTGAAGTACAGTGGTATCCCGATTTTTCGGACATCGAAGGGAAACGAAAATTGGTTCGAAAAATCGCAAAATCGAAAAATCGGAGGTAAAATTACAGTGACAATAGGGAAACGACTTTTGGTTCGAGTTATCGGGAGATTTGAAAAAATGAGGGTTTGAGAATTCGGGATTCCACTGTACTTATTCCAGGGTTAGGTGGAAGTTGTCCTTGGTCAAGTATTATGATTTTGTTTTTGTCCCTGTCGTGTCATAACTTATAAACAAAATAAGGAACAATAATAATATTTGATAATACCGTCAGTAAAATAGAAAACCAAAAACAAATAAATAAAAAATTAGCCATTAGTTGTTGGAGTCCGTTTTGAAAGACAACAACCACATAACTGTACATAGAACAACAGCAGTAATTTAGGATATAATAGATGGCGTTGACGTTTAACTAAAGCGGGAACGATTCACTCCAACTGAATGGGATGTTAAAGCCATAATAGTTCTTTTTCTTTTTCTTCTCAAGGAAAAAAGAAGAAGCATTTAGTAAGAAACATAATGGTTCACTTTATCAAATTCGAGAAGCAACAACAGCTGGGTTTATATATTTTGCTCTTCTGTTTCAGGTCAGTGTGGTGGAGATCTGACAGCTGACTCTGGTGTAATTCAAAGTCCTGGTTTTCCCACGCGCTACCCTAATAACGCCAACTGCGAATGGAAAATTATCGCCGACGATGGCTCACGCATCACACTGACTTTTGTCGACTTTCAGGTGTGAGAAAAACTCGTGTGTTTCTGTTACTTTTTTTTTTTTTTTTTGCTACAGCAGTGTTGTATTACGATGAAAATGGTAAATGTATATCAGCCATATCGACTCAACTTATTTCGTCAACAAACGGAAAATATGTCTCAACAAATTTACCAAAATCAAGCAAGTTTGCCGTTAAAGTTATGCTTTTTTATTGCTTTATTTTTCTTTATATTATTGACAGTTGTAGGCATAGCTCCTCTAAGAAATTAAATGTGATACACAACTAACATTCTTTTTCACCAGAAAAATTTTAAATGTTTCTTATAATTATATGTGAACTGGGCGTTTTAAGACCCAAGTCCTCATTACTCTCTGAAAGACGGCCCTGATGGAGGGGGGCAGGGGGAGAGGGGAAGCCCATTTATGGGTGTGCAAGCCTATTTTTTGCCCATATCCCATTTCCATTCCCATTTTCGTTCCCATTGACCCAAAACCTGTTTTCCTGGTGAAAATATAGGAAAATTCCATTTCCCATTTTACACCTTCAGCCTCTCCTGAAACAAACTATCATTATCAGTTTATAAATTCATGTCTGACCTTCCGCTAGAAAGGGAGAGACGTATCATACGTAATGTCTTTTGTCCTAGTCAAACCGAAACTGAAATGATTATGATGTCAATTTGTGAGTTACCAATGTTTGACTATAGGCCACTTCGTTGTTTTTGTTATTCATATTGAAATAGAAATACTGATTATAAAGTAGAGATAAATATTATGAGTGGAAATACGTATAGTCGACTCCCGATAACTCAATCCTCGCTAACTCGAACCAAAATCGATTTCCCCTGCATTTCCGTCGCACATTTACTTTAATTTTACCCTCGGTAACTCGAACCCTCGTTAACTCGAACCTCCCGCTAACTCGAAGCAATTTTCGTTTCCCTTAAGGTCATTTTCTGTATAATTTTACCTTTGATAACTCGAACCATATCTGTCAATACGTGACAAATCAAAACAAACAGTGTACTGTAGTCCAAAAAATTAAATTTATTTTGAAGCAGCCGTGTGAAAAAACCTGTACCGTTCACAGTTCCTGGACTTCTCCCTGCTGCTTTCCTTTGTTATATTTTTCACATTACGTTTCGTCCCGATTTATACAGTAATTTAGGATGTATTGTTTTATTTTCACTCGACTTCTCTATTCTGTAATTAACTTTGATTAACATGTACACTGCATGAAAAGAAAATCATTTTTAGACACCCTTTTTTTCTTTCCTTCTTTCCAGTCATTTGTTTTTAACTCCCGATAACTCGAACCTTTTTCAATTTCCTTTGAAGGTTCGAATTATCGGGAGTCGACTGTATCATAAATGTATTGATGGATACAATGTAAAAGAAATTGACAAAAGTGTTGTAATTATACCCACATTTTCGGTTGCTGGAATTCCTTACTTTGGATATGGAAAGAAAAAAACTTATAGCCAACGCATTTTTTTTTTTTTATTTACTGAAAATGTTCAAAAGAAAATCTATTCGTATATCACATCAGTTCCCTTGAATGATAATCCTATATATATATTGTGTGCCAAACTTTTGTCTTTGGGCTCGATCATATTGAACATCTTTGTTTATGTCAGTTTTGAACTTCCATCAAAACTAACACGCTGACCGTTTTGTGCATATTTTAGTTGGAAACGAGCAATAACTGCGAGTATGACTCGTTGGAAATTTACAACGGTGAAACAAGAGAAACAACCAACCTATTGAACAAGCTATGTGGTGATGAGGTACCCGATCCTATCGTGTCTACCGGCTCACGACTCCTCCTTAGGTTCCACTCAGATTTCTCCGTTTCGTACAAAGGCTTCAAATTGGAGTTCACCAAGTCAGGTATGGCATTTGGAACGAAGCCCAGTGTAACTTAAGCATCAGCGCGGATTCCACGAAATGGGTCGTCAACCTTATTCTCGGTCATGTCAGATGCTAGACAGATGCTGGTAGATGATAGAAACAAAACGGATATACTATAAAATTGCAATATAATGGATTATAGCAAATGAGATACAGATGATGTACCACCTCTATTTTAATGTGAAATTTCGCGAGTCGATCGGTAATTCATACTTCTTGATAAACGATACTTGGAAGCCAAAGGGGAGCCCCATTCTTCGAAATATACAAAGTAATAATTGCGCCGAATAACTTAGCCAATCCCGGGTCACACTATTTCTAAAAGCTATGCAAACGTCTGCGCCGATTAAAAAGTTGTGATGATCAGCGAATTGACACGTGGTTATATTTTTTACAGGAAGCCTGTGTGACGAACTTCATGGCCTAGAAAGTTTTAGACAGTAATCTAGATTGGTTAAACGTACTGCGCGTGTGCAGTTCCCGTCAAAACCATCACTTGCAAACGATTCGCTTTTCTGAAAACCTGCTCTTTCAATTTAAACGTTGAAACATACGTTACATTGAAAAAATAGTATTTGTGCGGCGCATATAAAGAGATAATTCCGAAGATATTATGGCCATGTTTTCTCTGACAGGTTTAAACGATAACCATGTTTTTAATTCTTTCCGCTAACATTAAAAAATTCCTTTTTCCAAGCAAGAAGTCAGCAATTCTATTTCTTACTGCAAAACCCTGCAAACTAACATAACATGTTTTTGCTTGTTCCGTGCCAGGTTGTGGCCGCACTTTCAATGGAGAGAGCGGCGAGATCAAATCACCGAACCATCCCGATAGGCATCCCGAGTCCCTGGATTGCTCTTACCTTATCTGTGTCGCCAGGGACAAACTTGTGACGCTGCGTTTTACTCACTTTGACCTGGAGGCTCCAGAAAGTGAGTCGATACGACGTGTGTTTTATTGACCTTACTTGGCCTTGGGAGAGATAGCCTCCTGCCCAGACGTTCTTTGGGCTCGTCACGGAGGGAGATTGCGTGACGAGCCCAAAGAAGCTATGGGAGGGAAGGAGGGAGGCAAAAAGTGGCTGCGCTGATTTCAAACTTTTTAAACAACATTGAAACTATAGGCCAGATTACCTTCTATGCCTTTTCCTAACAATTATCAGGGAACACTTCGGCTTGTCAATTATTTGATCACGTGACTGAGGGCGGGAGATGATTGACATTTCAGGTCAGACTTCACCTTTACATGGCAACCCTGCTTTCAAAGAGCGTTTCACCGATATTTAGTAGTCTTTGTATCTCGATACAGTTTTTTTCCGGACCATACCATGCATTTCAATCGGCTTTTTACCATCTATCTCAGCCCCGATAGGATCGATATGAAAATCAAACCAGTTACTGGAAATATATTGAAGTTGGGTATAATGTATCTTTTAGGGTATTTTCATAGAGACATAAAATCATTGTTCTTTTGGCTAATCAAAATTTTCAACGTGTTTTACACTTCTAAAACGAAGAATCCTATCCATTTGAGAACATTTTATATTGTTAACGAGAAAGATACACTCTCTTTTTCAGCTTTTGTTTATCGTAGTAATTTGTCCGCTCTAGATTCTACAGGTTGTCAGTATGACTATGTGGAAATTTTCGATGGTAAGTCGGTAAATGCTCCAAACCTTGGCAGATACTGTGGTGGCAATATGCCCAGCCCAATCCGCTCTTCCACCAATGAACTCTTCCTGAGATTCATCTCGGATCAGACTATATCGCACACTGGCTTCGTCGCCTCGTATACTGCCGAGCCTAAGGGTGAGTATCTTTCGCATTTTAAGACGTCTGGAATTACGTTATTTATACCATGCCACAGAAAATACAGCCAATCAGAATACAGGAAAGCCGTTGCATATTCGACGGTATGACATCCAACCTTCCCATCAGGCATAAAATAGTTATCCAACGCTCTCCCGTGGTATATCATGCAGTATCCCACTTGTCACTTGTATTTTCTTGGTGTGCACACTCGCTTAAAGGCTCGTTAGTTTACCGAGAAAATACAAGTAACTCGTGGGATATTCCACGGTATAACACTCGAAAGCGTTGCTTTCGTTATACGGAAATGACAGTGCAGACGTTTAGAAACCGTTAGTGTGGAGAGGACGTTAAATTTTAGAACGTGGTTATATCGTAGCATTTATATGTTGTTTTTTATTTGTTTTGACGTAGCTGTGGCTAATCCTTGTCTTGAAAACAATGGAGGATGCAGTGATATATGTTCAGTGATGAGCGGTGGACGGGTTTGCTCTTGTAATCCAGGATTCTCGCTCGATTTTGACGGGGTTACTTGCGTAGGTACGGAATTCTATCTCTCCTCTTCTCCCTTCCTCCACCAGCTGTTTTTCTCCTGCTATTTACATCATCTTGCGGACGTAAAGTTGCTTAGGGCGCTGTACGAATGCCTGGTACCCACACCTTTTTCGCTCGTCGTTCTTGGTACAATAATAGTAAACAATAACAATAATCTTTATTGGGTAGGGCGGATACAGGATTTTAGAGAAGGGGGTTCGAGATTCGAATGCCGAAGGCGGTCTCCTATAGGGAGCGTCTAAAGGAATCCTCCCCCAGAAAGTTTTTGAAAATGAGGTCCTCGGAAGTGAAATTTCCGGCATTCTGAGGCCAAGTCAGCGTGTTATAATGTCTCATTTTTTTTTTCCTTATTTAGGGGGTTCGACGGAGCCCTTCGAACCCCTCCTAAGTCCTCCGCAGAATTTGGCTCACACTCAGATTAACTACAGAAGAAGTATTATATGCATTACATGTGGATTAATGGCAAACACAACGAAAGTTATTATTAACCGCATTGTTTTCGAGTTACATCCTGACAGCTATTTTGTGTTTATTTTAAAGTGGGAAGAACAGCAAACCTGGTAAATAATGCTGAATGATTTTGTAATAAATGATAGCATTACTATTCAAATTTTGTTGGAGCATTGTTCTGACCGAATGCGTGGAACAGGCTCCAGTTTACCGTCCTCTTTTGTAAAGGTGAAGTGATCATGCAAAAATCAGTGGTACGTTCTGTAAAAGAAGTCTATCCTCACTTCACAAATCCAACTTGAGAGATTTTGCGGGTTTAAAATTATCGAACTGATTTGAACTTTTTAATGACATCCCTCGTGATTCGAAACAAGGTAAAAATGGATGGAAAGCGAAACGAACTTGGTCCAAGTGAATCGAAGTATTAATTTTGGTCTTCTCCTTGGGCATTAGAATCGTTCCTCTAGCGCGCAATTTACGATTGGCAATGCCACCTCTACGAAATATTTTTTTCCTTCTATGTATTATTGCCTAGCCAAAATGAGAAAGAAAAGAAAAAGGTTTAATGGTATTTAATCTGCCGTTCCCCATTGCTCATCAGATACAGATGAATGCATAATCAACAATGGCGGCTGTCAGGAAACTTGTGTTAACACGGTTGGTGGATTTCAGTGCAATTGTCGCGATGGTTACGTTATCGACACCGACAACAAGACTTGTATCAGTAAGTCTAAAATTGTGTAAATTGTCTCAGTTTTTGCCGTATTCTTTCACGGTCCAGGGTAATAATCCAGGAGGGGGGCGAGGAGACCTCGGAAACAAAATTGACGGGGTGCTCGTAGTGATTTTCAAAGAAACCCCTAACATGTACCAAAATGGCGTTTTGTGGTAGCCTACGATCAGGTAAAGTCATGCCAAACCGCGGGAAAAACCGCGGGAAAAAAATTGCCTGAAGAGCCTTTGGTGACGTATGTGAGCTCGACTTAAATTCATGTCACCATTTTCGCCAATTCTTTCCGAGATTAATTGATGATTGATTGATCGATTGATTGATTGATTGATTGACTGATTGATTTATGTGTCAATTTCCATGGTATGTTTTCCTGCTTATTAGCCTTAAGGTACCACAAAAATTTTAAAGGAGGTCAAACAATTAATGATTATTTACATTGGAATACCAAAAATTTTAACCCCTTAATGGAAGGACGGACACCTCCGTCACTTTTATTCATGAGCCCACTTCACCAGGACAACTGGCGTTCTCTGCTGAATCGTTAGGCGACGAAAACTTAGGAGTCGAGAACGTTTAGCGAAATGTTCATAAACAGGCGAGGGCTGGTGAACTTCTTAATAGCGGTTGTCCCATTGTTTGTTACGTGAATTGGACTGAAATTTAATTTCAAGTTTCTCTCTCCAGACGAGAACGAATGCGCGACAGGTAATCACAACTGCGAACAGCTGTGTCGTGACACAGAAGGTAGTTATTACTGCGAGTGTCACAAGGGATACAGAGTCGGCGCTGGTAGGATCACGTGTCAAGGTAAAAGGAAACCGCTTTACTCTAGTGCAACTTTTATGAGGTAACTACTGTTTATAAGCAAGTATGGAGTGTACTCAATTATAACCTCCTGTTGCTATACCGTTAAGCAACTAGGATTACTGTTTATTTAAAAATTGTTGGGAACTTTCAACGCTCATTTGCCTTACAACTAAGTATAAGTGTACTTTGAGGTTGAAAGAGACGCTTTGAGGGTGAAGTATTCGAGAAGGATAATATTCTGTCCACAGGCCGCGTTTATTGGTTTTGCTACGAGTTAAAATTACTGTGTTGGACTGAGGAGAGGGAAACGACTTGTAGATCAAGTTATCGGGAGGTTCGAAAATTCGCGATTCAAGAATTTGTCTTTCCTCAGGACCACCCCTTGCGTTCAGGCTTTTTCAAGTCCCTGCGCTTAAAATACTTTTGCTTGCGATGCCGACGAACTAGACAAAATAGACGGTCTGAGAGCAGACTAGAAGGATACCAGGGTGTAACCATAACACCTCCGTCCTTTTTTGATAATTTGTTAGTGGCAGTTGGCTCAGTTTTTTTCAGGACACAGCAAGTGTTGGACTGTGGGGACTAATAGTAGCAAAATGAGTATGGAAACTGTAACGTACGTAAGCGACTGAGTAACCAAAGTGTTCGTAATCGTTTTCAGATGTGGATGAGTGCAAGCTGCCGAAGAGCTTTCATCATTGCCAGCATACATGTGTTAACACACCCGGCAGTTATTACTGTACGTGTAGGAAAGGATTCAGGCTCAGCGCTAACGGGAAAATATGCAGAGGTTAGAGTTTCTGCTTGTTGTAGTACTAGATTTACATTAGTCTTCATTCTAGATAATGCAACGGCTGCAAATGAGGCTAAGGGGAAAGAGAATTTCGTACATAACTAAGTGATATCGCAAATTCGAACAAAAACCTCAATTGCATGAAAAATAACATATTTAGCAATTATTTCATGAGCGCACGTTGAATACAGAACAATACAGAATATAGAAAATTCAATTAAAATAAAACTAAGAACGCCCCCAAAAAATTACGCGTATGCTCATCGTATTTGTAGAGCGTGGTACAGTATAATGGCTTAGCTAATGAAAACTCTCGAATTGCGTTATCCAATGATGATCCCGTTTTTAATTATCTAAGATAATAGACTGAAGTATTCTTTTGACATTAAAACTCTTTCAAACTTCTTGTGCATTTCTTTTTATGTATTGAACATAGTGGACACACATTTATCTGTCCATCTTAAGTTGCGATCTGGGATCATCCGCTTTTCATTATAAATAATTGATATTCACATATTTTATCGAGGGGGTATAATTGTAAAGGTGTTTAATTCTGTCTGAGCTACTTACAGATAGAAACACTCCAGACATGTGATTCATGCATCGTGTTGAGCGTTATCATCAAAGAAGTACTGCAGAAACGACCGAATGGCATGCATCGCATAATTTTTTTTCTCGCACAAAATCTATATAGTTCCAAGAAAATTGACTAACCCTCGAGTTGCACTTGTTTTCCCCAACAAAAAGTACTAGCACACTATAGTAATGTGATAACGCAGGAGATTCCCCCATTGCTTATAGCGGTGACAATTCTTTATCTGCAGATGAAGACGAATGTTTGATGGGAGGAGCGAAATGTGAGCAGCAATGTGTCAATATCCCTGGCAGCTTCTACTGTGACTGTTACCAAGGTTACCACCTTGACGCCAAGCTGCCTCACAAGTGTGTGGATACTGACGAGTGTCTGGAAGGCAGACCTGATTGCCATACGTGCTTTAATTCTGAAGGAAGGTAACAAGACTTCAGTTTTGTGTATCCGTTTTACAGTACCAAGCATTTCCCCTCTCTTCTCGCTTGACTATCTCGCTGTCTTTCCATTTCATGCAACTTGTTCCACGGTCTCGAGTTGTGAAGAAAACCGACAAATGAGCCGATATGGGCAGTTAATGGGAGCGAACTGACAGAAAAGGACGGCTAATCCATTTGAATACTATCCAAGCTAAGAAGAATATTTTCCGATTTGACAATTTCTCAAAAGATGTTCTGATTCATTTTGTCGACAATAATTTAGCATAGACCATGTGTTCACGACAGACTGCCAACATTACAACTATGCTAAGGAATTCTGTTAACAGAGTTAGAGATGAATTATAGATTGCACTAAGGTGGACTGGACTGGTGTTAGAGTCGGACTGTGAAATATCTCTGTTTATCTAGCTACATGTAATAAATGTGCATTTTTAGTCTCTTAGATCATAGTTAATTGAGGGAAATGGTTTGTTATGCGTTTTTGTTTGCTTTTGGGGGGTTGAACCTGCACAAAAACTGGCAAAATACAAAAGGTGGTTACGTGTGCTCATACAACCAACCAATAGAAGCATTGTGATCATGTAATTCATGCATAGTCAATGAGCATAAAACAAAAGAAGTGCAGAGTCAAGGGCCTTCCAACATAAATCTTAATCTGTTTGTTTCCTTCTTTGACGTTTAACAGCCTTCCTAACCATTTCCCTCTATTAAGTATGCTTAGATTTCATATTCCTTGTCTTGACTAATCCTTTTGTTACTTATTTCCTCACCAGTTTTCGTTGTGAGTGCGACGAGGGTTATGTTTCAGCCGACAATGGGACGCGCTGCGCAGACATTGATGAATGTGCTGTTGACAATGGCGGATGCTCTCAGATTTGTGTCAATACCGACGGTGGTTATATGTGTGAGTGCAGCCCTGGATACAATGCCACTGACTCTGAGTGAGTATCAGAATTCTTTGTCCATAAGTTGTTTTCTCACGCTATATTGATAGAACTGAACTGAAAATACCTAGCTTCTTCCTGTGTACGTTTGGTTTTCTTGCTTTGCACCCAATATTTCGTCAGTTTTCAGCAGCCAATTAATTCATTTCATATCGGGTTATGCATTTTCCTTCAGAGGGCCCCAGGTTCATTAGCTCTACAAACTATTATGTGCTACCTTCGTTAAATAAAGTTTAGTTGATTGGTTGATTGATAAGCGTTTGATCCAGTAAATTGATCGTCGCAACAAACTTACTTATACAATGGCGTTCGAGGAAAAGGGTACCACAATTGTATGGGCACTTTTGAGTACAACAGCCCTATTTATATTCTTTAATTTTGGCAAACCAAATGACCAACTCAGGTTAGCTCCTGAAAGAGAGAGTCGTCATACAAAAAGATTCACCGAGAGTGGAAACACAATGCCATTTTACCGTTTTCAGCCATTCCCCAAATTTTCTCATTTACTGGAGACGGAATTGCTATGTTATGTAGTCATCCAAGCTTCGTAAAAGTGAAACCATTTGCCCGAACGACTAATTTCTGTTCACGGATTATAAGGACTTCGTGAAACGTCTCAAACTACCAATTACTTTTTAAAACATAGCATAAGACCACAAGTACGCATTGCGGACCTATGTTTAAAACATGGTAACCGATCAAAACGATTTCCGAATCATGCGAGCAACTTCTTTCCTGCAGGTCAATAGACTGTGAAGACATCGACGAATGCGCTAAGAACAATGGGAAAGGAGACTGCGACTACGCGTGTGCAAACTCTGCCGGATCATTCCGCTGTTCATGTGCCGCGGGCTTCTACTTAGACACGGACGGTTTAACATGCTATGATATAGATGAATGTCAAACACACAATGGAAACTGTTCTCAGAAGTGCGTGAACACGCCTGGGAACCATTCGTGTTCATGTTTTGATGGTTACGTCAACTCTGGGCCAAATGGAACAGACGTTATTTGCATTGACATTGGTAAGACCTTCACTCAGAGGATGTCACTTGTGTTTTCCTATCCTTTCCTTTTTGGGTGTGTGTCCTTTTTGGCTATTTGTTTGGTTCTTTTTTATTTTGTTTGTTCGTTCAGTTTTATTGTATTTGTCCTATCAGGATCGTTGTCAGATGATTCTGCCATCGATCCGTCTATAATTCAAGAGTCACAGCAAAATTTTAAAAGTTTTTGTCTTAAGACCCATCTTGAATTAAGAAATTAAATCAAGCTAATTTCAAATCATTTTAGGGTACAATTTCTACTGGAGAAAGGCCCACATTCAACAAAACAAAATCCTGGTCCGCAAAAGACTGTTAAGTTAAAGAAATCAAGCGAACACTAAGAAACAATGAGAACCAGCAAACAAAAACAAAGCATGAGGCATCCGATTTTAACTGTTCGGCCAGTCAACGGTTTGTCTTCACAGTTGTCAGTAACCTTTTCCTCTCTGGTTTCTGAGGTGCGCAACTTCGACTTCAACTTCAACTTTTTATTGCTCACCTTTTAAAGAGTTAATTTACATCAGTAATATAAAATAAAAAGCGAGAAGAGAAATAAATGTTGCATATGGCTATGAAAAGAATAAAAAATATATATGTGCGTGGTAACCAGAATAGCCATTGGCTTTCGACCTGGTTACCACCATGTTAAGCGAAATGCGTAGAACAAATATACATTACGGATGAATACATTAATGAAGGCGATACTCAATCTACTTTCTGTATTTTCTCACGATAGATGAATGCTTTGACGACATACACAAGTGTGACTCGCGCGCCGAATGCCAGAACACACCTGGTAACTACTCGTGCCAGTGCCCTGACGGTTACACTTCGCAGTGGAAGGATTGTATCGGTAAGGGGTAATGGAACAGGGCTATAAATCATGTTACCTAAGTGGAAATTGTTTGAAAGCAATTACATAAAGAAAANCATACCGCGCTCTTCGCTTGCACAACAATCAAGTACGAAATTTGGCTGATGGGAGAGAGCAAATCGACTTGGTTCACCGGAGAAGAGAACGCAAAATGGTGTCCGCTTTTCTTTTGGTCCTTATCTCGTTTTACCTAACTTTTGTGCCTCAGTACATTGCACAAAACATTTATCTTCTGTCTCCGTCTTTGGCAGAGACATCCAGTTTCAGGTTTTTTCTTTATGCATCTAACAAATTCGTCTTTTTGAATTGTACGTTGAATCCTTTCATCTATGCATGGAGAATTCCAAAATACAAACGAGCATTCTTGGCAGTTTTTGGCAGATGTGTTTGCCGGTCGAGAAACGTTGTTAGTGATGCTTTGGCCGGCAAACTGAAACATGCGCCATCTGTTATCAGAACAGACAGGCATTTTGTTGGACAAACATTTCATTTAAATGAAAGAAAATGAATAACACTTAGGGACCGAAGTAGAGAACTTGTTAAAAGTTTAGTATTGTTAAGTATGTTTAAGGTGTTATGAGGGAATTGGAAAGCATTCAACGCGACGCAACACAACTAAACATCAGCAAATAAAGTTAAGAGTTACATCAATGAAAAACAGCTGCCGAAGGTTTTAGTCAGCTAATACCTTATTAATAGGCTTACAATTATCTCTTTTCTTGTTTTTTGTATAGATAAATGTTGTCGTTACTATTGTTGTTACTGTTGTTGTTGTTGTTGTTGTTGTTGTTGTTGTTGTTGTTGTTGTTGTTGTTGTGAAAACTGGTTTGGCTAATACCTAGTACTTTAAGAGTTCTATCATGGCAGCTGAACACACACGAAAACATACATGAGCAAGCTGAAATTACTAAATAGAATATGATTTTGTTTTACTGCATGGAATAAACTGATTCACACAGAAGTTCAGGACAGCTTTTCTTGCCCACTATTTTTCGCTGTGCTCTATTAGCCAAGCCCAGGTTGATATCATTACTAATCAGTTACCAAGAGGCCTTTTTCTGGACTGATTTTTTTGTTGACCAAGTCGTCATTCTATTCACTTCTAATGGCAACCTGTCATATAATAATTTGTCCATATATAATAGGCCATTGATCAAATTGTTGAGACTATCCGGGCTTTTGCGGTCTGCGGGAAAAAGAGGGGATTTTAGGTCATGATCTTGTAAATCGTAGTGCATAAAAGCTATGACAATTGACAACGGAATTTGACGAATCTATAGCAAGGCTTTTTTTATGATTTTATGATTTTTAATAATAATCCTAATATTATCTTTAATAAGTAGTTTTTAACAATCCACTATTTGCTTGCGTATGTTCCTTTGTCCTCCCGAACTGAATTTGAATATAATATTTGAGAAATCAGATCATTCAGTGGACTGGAGATCTCTAAATCAAACGCTGTCTCGAGTAATATTAGCTTACGGCTTCAAAAGTGGATTTTTCCTCTGAAATATCTGTGGCACTGCATTTTAGACGACTTTGTGTCATTTGGATTATTCTTACGTCTTGTAAAATCAAGACTTAAACTAGAAGCAAAAGCGGGCGATACAAGAAAATGGATTCCTTTTGCAGATGGCATACAAATTGCTATTTCCAGTCCACTTGACCGCCAAAATAATCGGCAATAATTTATGTGAAGATATGATGTATTTCCCTAAAATATTATAATTTTAACTTGATGTCTTTCCTCTTCAAATAAACTATCATGATTTAAGTATCTCGTTTCGCCCCAATCTTTCTGCATCTTTCTGCTTTTATTTTCGTCAGTTTTACTTTTTTGTTTCTCTGTAATGCACTCTAGTGGTTATATTGTACGTGTAATTTGCTCTGTCTATTTATTCAATAAAGATTAACGAAAAAAATACCTCTTACTAACCGAGTTCGAGGGCCGTACTGTAACTTACGGACCGAATTTTTTCCCCATCGATTTTCACGAAACATTTTGGCAACAAAAACAGCTTCAAATTTTAGCGGGCCGTACAGTAAAATACGGCCCGCTAAATCATAGCGCGCGTACTAACTGAGAGATATGATGAAATGTTTATTCCTGCCTATCTTCAGATATCGACGAATGTAAACTGAGCAAATGCGAAAAAGGTTGCGTCAACTCGGTTGGAAGTTATCAGTGCTCATGTCCTGCTGGTTATCAACTGGCATCGGATGGCCACCACTGCGAAGGTAAAAAACGTGGAGTTCAAATTGAAATAAATTAGATAACATAGATGAGAACCATATAACATACACTTTAATATAGTGTGTGGTGTTGGAAAGAAGTGTTGCAGAAACTGTGACTTGGAAGAATAGCAAGTTTGCACTTTACTTTAGTAGTCCGCTTTTCCTGTCCGCAAAAATCCACCAGTTTGAAAATGGTTTCGTTAGCTTCTATATTTTTTCCTTATGTTATTAGACATTGACGAGTGTTTGGACAACAATGGCGGATGCGATCACAGATGTGTTAATGAAAATGGCAGGTAACGTGTTGTGGTGGTTCAATATAATATTATCCTATTGTTTCCTATATATCATAATATATTACCATACAACAGAACAACGGAGATTACCAAATCGTCCCAAGGGAAATAACATTGAACCGCATCATTGATATTTCATGATTAAGTTTCAAGAGTGCGTTATTATTTCATCGGATGAAGATAGCTTGCCAGCCCATTGAAAGTTAACAAGTCATCAGCGACTCATTAGAACTCAACATAGTGTTCGCGTGTGCTGGTGTACCCTTAACCAATGAAAACCGCTTTAGGTATAATCACTTGTTAGTGTGAAATTTTCCGTGCTTTTCTCTCTCCCCCCGCCCCGTGGATGTAAACCCTAACTCCAATAACGATATCTTTTGTAAGACCAGAATCTTTGAAAGTGAAGAATGATCATCGCAGTAAATTTTCCAATTTAAGCAATTGGAAAGAAGAAGCCTGAAAAAAATCAGGGCTTCAACGTTGAAGCC